GCGCTCAGCCTGGGGGGGGGTGGGGCGGAGCACACAGCTGGTTTTGGGTAAAAAACTATCATGTGCCAAATACCAAATACTAGCAGTCTTGTTAAGGCCCCTGTTGGGAAAAAAACAAAAACAAACCCCAGCTCCTGGCTCTACTTCTAGTTTAGAGGGGAAAACACATAAACTTCTTTGTGATAAAGAAACCAAAGGCCTTCTAAAGCCAAGGGATGGTTTCATCTGCGGTGCATTTGGTGTTAATAGGGCCAAGCACCTCCCTCCCCCTCCCACCAGTAGCTCGAAGGTTCCCCACAGCTGAGGCTTCCTTCCAAAATCCGTGACTGTTCCAAAAAAGGCCTTGTGCAGGCTGGGCAGAGCATAGGTCCAGGATCCCATCACTACCTGTGTGTGTGTGTGTGTGTGTACACGCACACGAGCACACAACCATCCTGTCTTTTATTTCCATTAATGTTAATCAGATGCCAAAGCTCCAGGATCCCATCACTACCTGTGCTATGGTGTGTGTGTGTGTGTGTGTGTGTGTACACGCACACGAGCACACAACCATCCTGTCTTTTATTTCCATTAATGTTAATCAGATGCCAAAGCTCCAGGATCCCATCACTACCTGTGCTACGCTGTGTGTGTGTGTCTGTGTACACGCACACGAGCACACAACCATCTCGTCTTTTATTTACATTAATGTTAAAATCAGATGCCAAAAAGCTCCTTTCCATGATTTCCAAATTTCGTTGGAAACCAAGTGCCAGGGAGCAGCAAACACCAATGATATCGGTGGTTTGAAAATCAGTACAGAGCCAGCTAAACACAGGAGCAGGTTCAGTGCTCTCAAACACCGAAAAAATAATCCCCCCACTGAAAACCTCACCAAACAAAAACCCAGAACAGAACCAGGACACAGCTCCCGGGAAACAAGCGGTCCAAGGCCTCAGTGTGGCTACTGCCGACTGGGCCAGGAGGCGGGCCAGGAGCAGCTCCAGCACAAGGGAGAAGGCGGGCAAAGCCCCGCAGGTAAGGGACTCACCCCACCGCAGGGCAAACAAGTCCACAAGGTGGCAAGGCTGACAGCACTTCACCAGCAAGCAGGTGCCAGGAAGGCCGGCAGAGGCAGAGCACTCGTGGGCCTCGTCTTACAGGCACTGCTCCCGGTGCAGCCCACACCCTACAGCAGAGCCCGCCGGGCGCTGGGCGTGGCCAAGACGGCCAGGCCACCTCCTGCCGACGGAAATGCAGAGCCAGGCGATTCTCACCGTATTTCTTCCTGATCTCATCATGTCTCGACTTCATCTCTGCTCTCCTAGAAAACACAAAAATCCCGTTCAGCAGCAAATTACAGTGTACATTTCGTGTGTGTGTGTGTGTGTGTGTGTGTGTGTGTGTGTCTGCACGGCTTGTGGAACCTTAGTTCCTCGACCAGGGATCAAAGCTGGGGCCCCTGCAGTGGAAGCGCAGAGCTCTAACCACTGGACCACCAGGGAAGTCCCCACAGTGTAATTCCAACAGCTGTGCCTTTCACTCCCTTGTGGCCTCCGGGAGCCAGAGCCGGGTGGTGGCGGCTCTGATGTGGCCACGGCCACGCTCCCACCGGGACAGGCAGGGTGCTGAGCACGGACCCCTTCATTTCAAGGAAAGCAATTTCAATAACCCCGTACTGTGACTGAAGACATTTTTTTCCGTATGAAAACGAACCAATCAGCAAAGATCTTACGCTTGGTTCTGAAGATGGTTAGGAGCTCGCAAGAGCCTCAGCCCGGCAGCTGCGGGCTGACAAGCCCCCAGCCCCCCCGCGCACATGCCAAAGTACTTCGGAACCTGGGACACACGGTCACCAGAGCACTAGTCACACAAAAGGCCCGGTGTGGCCTCGGACAGACAGGAAACCCCGGGCAGAAGCCTTCCTCCTGCTGAGCCCCCGCGGGCTCAGAACCGGACGGGCCTCCAGAGGCCTCGCCGGCCCAGACCCGAAGTCCTGGCTGGTGGCCACCGGCCAGGTCCCTGCCACGCGGCTTCCCACCCTCCACACCACCACCGAGAAGCCCCCTCGGACGCCCGAAACGGTCCTGACTTTTCCACGTGGAGAAAGCTGGCGCCAAGTAACCGCCCCCGGGTCGCGGGGCCTCACCGCTCCTCCTGGCGGACCCGGCGCTCCTCTCGCTCCCGGGCAGCCCTCTCCTCGCTCTTGTCCGGCCGCCGGCTCCGCCTCCTCCCGCAGCAGCAGCAGTAGCAGCAGCAGGCGACGCCCAGGAGCAGGGCGCCCCCAAGCACCGACAGGGCGATGATCAGGGCCTCGAAGTTCACTGCCAAGTGCAAAGGGTCAGGGGCAGGGCCCGCTCACGGCCACGCCCCCTCCTCGGCGGGGGGCGG